CTATGGTTGCCAAGAGGGACTACAGGCTCTTTGATGCCAGTTTTTTTTCTGGTTCTCCCCACGAGAAAGTCACTTAGGAGTTTTAATAAAATAACCAATATTTGTACTTAAAAATCTTGATGCAGCTGGGTGGGTGGTATAGGCCTGGAATCCTAGCACTCTGGTAGGCTGAGGCAGGAGGATTTCAGGGTCAACCCCAGCCCGGGCCACTTAGCGAAACTGTGTCTTGAAAAGCAAGAAAGGGCTGCAGATGTAGCCCTGGATTCAGTTTCCTGTAACAACAACAAATCCCGACTCGGCCAACAGCTTACTGAGCGGGCTGTGCCGTTCCCCTCTGGCCCCCTCTAGCGGTGGGGTTACAGCAGCTGCCAAGAGTCCCCTGGGCTTTGAAATGAAGACCAACTGCAGAGAACCAGCCCGGTCCCCCCCACCCCGCCGCCCCAACTAGTCACTGGGGCCCCTCTCAGAGCAGCCCCTCCTATAGCAGGCTGGGTGCCCCCCCCAGAGCGTCCCCACTCGGGGCCTGGCCTCCTGCCTGCTCCCTCCAGACCCGAGCGGGCTGATGCCACCTGAGCCACAGCAGTGGGACTACTTTTCTTTCTTTGGTACCCGGAATCTAACTCAGGGCCTCTGAGCTGCATCACCCGCCCTGCTGCCCTTTCATTACAGCACGGTTCCCCACTGGAGCCTGGGCCCTGGGATGATCCATTTCCTCTCGGTGCTCACGGCCTGCAGGAGGCTTTTTTCTTGTTCATTTTCTGCTTAAAAAAAAAAAAAATCAGACTGCTCTATTACATTCCCGGGAGCATTAATCCTCCTGTTTTGCTCAATTACTCCCATGACCAACTGTATTCTTGAGTAGCTTATATATGTTTTTATTGTGAACATAATGATTCTTCTTGGGTTTTCTGATCCCTCTTGCTGTCTCCATGAGTCCAGATTATAACAATATATCTACGGTGCGGTGTTACATCTGCATCTGCTTAGTACCCTACAGGTCTAACTCATTTAAAAAATACTCCTGCCTCAGCCTCCTGAATGCTGGGATTACTGGGGTGTACTACCCACCATGCCCAGCTTGTGACCTGTTTTTACTTTAATTTCTTTGCTTGGGAAAACTGTTCCATCACTTAAAAACAATTTATTGGACGTTTGTTATATGTACAACATGTGATAAAAAATAAACAGTGGGGCCAGAGATTTAGCTCAGTGGTTCCGTTGCCTCCCTTGCAAATGCAAGGTCCTGAGTTCGATCCCCAGGACCAAAATACAAAACAAAACAAAACAAAACAGAAAAAAATACACAGTGATGCCCAAGTTTGAGCCTAGCCTGGGCTCCATAATGAGTTCAAGGCCAGACTGAAATATATAGTGAGACCCTCTCTCAAACAAACAAACACAATGACACAGTGAATATTTAAATTTAAAAACTTATTATGGTAAGATATACATTGCCATGAATCCCCTGAAAAATACTTTCCCTTGGGGCCGGGGATTTAGCTCAGTGGTGCCGCTGCCTGCCTCACAAGCTCAAGGACCCGAGTTCGATCCCCGGTACCAAAAAATAAAAAAAATAAAAGCATAAAAATACTTTCCCCGGCCCCTCCCTTTGAATACACTGGGCCCATCCTTCTGCCGCTCCCGAAGCACCTCTGGAGGTCTTCTTTCGTGTCTTTATGAGGCACGCCCAATACTGCGGTGAATGCTGCCGCCAAACTTCATCCAACGGAAAGACAGCCTCATAAAGAACGTTACAGCGTGTCCTCATCCACCGTGTTCCCTGGGTGTGGCACCGTGCAACTTCTGATCCTTTCCCCAACACAAAATGACCCTGAGAAGGAAATGTTTGGAATCAATTCAGGACATCAAAGCAGCCACGACAGTGCAATTAAGACACTCATGAAAGAGGACCTCCAGAGTACACACACGGTGTCAGTGGTGGGAAATCAGGTTCAGAAAGTGAAAACCAGGTACAGAAAAATGAGAGAAAACCCAGTGAAGAAAAAAACGTTTGTACAGGAGAAAAGGTTTGAGCCGGGCACGGTGGCTCATGTCTACGGTCTTAGCACTTGAGAGGCTGAGGCAGGAGGATTGCCAGCCTCCGCTACATAGTGAGTTCAAAGCCAGCCGGGAATACGTGGTGAGACCCTGTCCCGACCCCCTCCCTCCACAGAAAGTCATTTGAAGCCCCCCTGGGGGTAAATTGACAGGGCTGGGAGGCTTTGGAGCCAACAGAGCCGCACAAGCCCTGGGCTGGGGAAACCGAGCTGGAGGGGCGCAGATGGAACCCAAGGAAGGAGACTGGCCGGACTGGCACGTCCAGATCTTGAACGCGTACTCAGTGTCATCAGGAGCGGCCAGGGGGGTGGCTGAAGGGCCAAGGCAGGGACCAGAACGCCGCAAGGAAGGGGTCTGAGGACCTCTTCGGAGGTACTAGGAACAGAGTGAACACAGGCCAGGGCCCGGGCCTTAGCGCGCTGACCCTGCAGGCTCGGCCCCTCCCTGCCTTGGCGCTGGCGCAGGCCGCAGCCCTCTTCCTCGCAAGGCCGTTGTAAGGGTTGCACTTAAAACGCGCAACGAAAAAAAGCGGGGGCGGCCGCCTGCCTCGCAAGCACAAGGAACCGAGTTCGATCCCTGCTACAAAAAAACCGCGCAACGCGCCTCGCGAAGTTCCCGGCGCACAGCGAAGGCGATTAAAGGGCCGGGGTCGTTTTTATTAACCGAGGCCCCTGGCCCAGCGCCGCCTTATTGGGGGGCTAGACTTCTCGGGGCGAGGACGCGCGCGGGAA